AATGACGTATTACATCCTATCTGGTATTTCTGTTAATATTATTGTTTGCAACCAGTGCCGTAACTAGCCATTCCCGTGCCATGTGCAAGAATTTCCATTTAGGCCCTTTAAATAATTAGGTTTGGGAAAATAATAAAACAAATACATGCATTTTGGGCCCCCCTTTCATGTGGGCCCTGTGCGGGTGCACCTGTTGCACCTGCCTAGTTACGGCACTGTTTGCAACATTATGGAATATAGAGTTTCTCAAACGAGATTCCGGCTGCTTTTTAACCCGAAAAACCCGCAATATTTCTAAAAGTTCCCTTTTTTCTTATTTTGTGTTAAAGTTAAGAAAATTTTGCATATAGAAAGTATAATTAACTCATAAACTGTTAAAATACGTTTGTATTTATTCATTTTCAGCCTACTTATTAGTTTTTTTAAATTTTTCCTCGTTATGGCATATCACAAATGGTCAATAATCAATACATAGCTTATTTGTGGAAAGACTCTGAAAATTCTTTACTTGACAGTATCTGTAATATCTGGAACAACTGTGCTTATGCTGTCTTAATTTTTAACCATGCCCAGTAGATTCGGTAACTGCATAACGCCAGGTTGTGCAAGTTGGACAAGGATACAAACGAGTACAAAGTCTGCAAGTATAAAGTTTTCTTTATAACCCTAATTATTAAAGCCAAACAAATTGCCGAATTATCGGACTATAAGCAGTGTTGCCGTTCCTAGTACATTTGTACTTTTCTGGTACATTTTGCCCTTCCCAGTAAATTGAAAGTACATTTAGATTTTTAGTACATTTTCAGTACATTGTAATATTTCAAGTACCATTTACAGTACAAATTAATATTTCACGCCTAAATTTACATTTCATAAATAATGACACTTATAACCCAGACACACACCCCAATCCTAAACTGCACAAAATTTGGCCGATAATTGTAGACCTAAATTAAAAATTTTCGCAATTTTATATACCGGAAAGAGACATATCCATCAATGAGAATTTGTTGCTATACAAGGGTCGTCTTTCGTGGAAACAATACATTCCTCAGAAACGGTCTCGTTTCGGTGTGAAATTTTATAATTTATGTGAATCCTCATCAGGATATTTATATAAATTTCTAATTTATACCAGCAAGTCAACTACATTGGATGATAAGTATAAAAATATGCCAGTCAGTTCACTGATTGTGCTAACGTTAATTGATTCGTTGTTAGATAAGGGCTATTGTCTAACAACAGATAGATTTTACTCTTCCCCACAGTTGGCGGATTATCTTGTCACGTGCAAAACGGATTTTTATGGAACCGTACGCACAATAAGACGAGAGATTCCGCCAGTAATCCATAGGCAAAAATTGAAAAAGGGAGAAACAATTGCTTTCCAGAGAGGTAAGCTAATGGTTATGAAATGGCAGGACAAGCGAAGTGTAGCTTTACTGTCTACAGTCCACAATCCTGCCATGGTAACCACACGAACACATGCCGGTAAGTCTGTTGTAAAGCCACAGGTCATTGTCGACTACAACGACACAATGGGGGGTGTTGACCTGTTAGATCAACATCTCCATGACTATGCAGTGGCGAGAAAAGGTGGGAAGAATTACTATAGAAAAATATTTTTTCATTTAGTAGATTTTTGTATATATGATTCTTTTGTGATGTACAAGAAAAATGGTGGCCAAAAAACAAATTTACAATTTCGACTGACTCTTATTGATAGACTAATAGAAACATATCACACCGAAACGAGGGTAACACACCAAAGTCGGCTGAGAACAATAGGTCCGCTAAGACTAACGGAAAGACATTTCCCGGACTTCGTTCCACCGACTGAGAAAAAAGCTGCTCCCACTAGGTACTGTGCTGTATGTTGTAGAAAACGTGACAGTACTGGAAAAAAAA